AAATGATTCCCGGACAACATGATATGATACTGGGACAACTTGACATGAAAAAGATATAGATAAGACAGTCTACCGCTTTGGAGTAAATCGATAACGCTATCCTCGCAAGAGGACAGGGCTGTTTCAAGAATTAAATCTAGCGTTGAGAAAACTAGTCGGTAGGCGAACAATTGTTTTAAATCTAGCACGAAGTTAAACAGAAACGAGGAGAGAGAGCAACCCTTTTGAACACCACTTTCCGTGGTAAACTCGGATGAAAAAGTGCCGTAAGCTCGGACTCCGTTTCAGCTATTAGAATATATAAAATAGCCCAGTCACTAAAGCATACTTCACTACCTTAAACTCGAGCCTGTCAACAAATTTTGCTATTCGCATAGGCCCATGATATAGGTAATGAAAAGTTCATTACTAGGACTACAGCGTAAGCATTGAACTTGTCTCTAGTCTTAGCTACTGTGGTAATCTTTGGTGATTGGTTTATCGTCTATGTCCGAGCACCTACAATCAGGTGTACCTTAGTTGTAGAGCGTCCGAAAGAAAATGATCGCAAAAAGGAACGAAAGTGTGCACAACAGTAACTGTCCATATGGGTACGTCCACAGGGTGGGAAACAGACCAGTAACAGTTACCTCGTTCTTTTGAACAGGCATTGCTCGAAGTGCCCGCTCCCAGGCGGATTCTTCATCCTCGTCAGCGGTGTTATTTAGATTTTGACTGGTGGCTTGAAGGCCGACAGGTTCATCCTCGTTTTCACTCCCAGAGCTTTGAACCTGTTCGGTACTTGTATATGGTGGCCAAATTCCGTTGCGTAGGCGGTGCAGAGTTACCTGAATCTCGCGTTTACTACCAACGCGTTCCAGACGGTCGATTATCTCCGTAAAGGTGGATTTCGAAAGCAAACGATTGGCCCATGCCTTATAAGCAAACAGCAAACGATCAAGATCTTGGAACTGTCGGTAAACAGAAAAACAAACAAAAAAGTGTCAAAAAAACCACCTCGGTGATGCGCGAAAACTAGAAGAGTTGTTATTGTTCTCATTATCATCATCATTATCGTCGTAAGTGAACAAAAGAATTTCGGAACTCTTGTGTAACAAAATTTCGTTTTACCGGAAGGGACTAGCGTGTGGATGAAAAACGCATCTCTGACAGTGGGTGACGGTGGTCAAACGAGGTTGATTACAGTCACCTCGCCGGAAGGTTCTCTGTTCGACGCCCACCGCTACCACCATCACTTAACTCCTTTTCATTGTGTTACCTGGATATCCGTTCTGAATAATGCATGTACCATGACATTCAATAAAAAGAAAGGATAAGAATAGCACATTTGGTAACAGTGGAAAGTTGTCGGATATGATGAACGGACGATGGGCGGTATACTTACTAAGAGATGCTCTCTCTCTATCTAAACTAATGAGGCTCTTGTACACAATCGATAGTGATCCGGTCAGACAGTGATTGTTCTGCATGTGTGCTTACCAATGCCAAAAGTTCCAACCCGATCGATAGTTGTCCCTATCGCCGGGATTCGAACACAAGACGTTGGGGAGATGCGATTATGACCTACTTTACATGAGATTGTGGAACCTAAGCAGAAAAGAGCTTGCTGGAGGAAAAACATGATACCAAAGTAACAATAATGATAATATTATCAGTGGATTATAAAGAACGGGTTTCAACAAACAAACCGCACAACAACAGCGCCATTGACTTCTATTCTGTGCTATATCTTCCGGCGTCTCTACCAGCAGGAAAGGCGGAGCCAACGCCGAGACTAACACCCTCACACTGTTAGCCCATGGTGTGACCCCCGTGGTGCTTCCTCCAGGATCACGCAGCACGTGCAAGGAAAGCATGGAAAGGCAGACAATGAATGAGCATACGCAAAACATGACCGAGCCATCGAAGGCGATGTAGAGGGAATAATTGTGATAGGTAACGACTATCAGTACCCAGCACACAACGATGAATTTCATCATTAC